AAAATATAAACAATGGAGATAAATAGGCTATTATTATATAATATGATCAAATGAATGAAATGAAGGATGGAAAGAACTAAAAGGAAAGAAATGGCACACAACTATAATGATGAATAGATATAATTAAAAACAAACTTTATTTTATTGTATGATATATGACAGTTTAAATTTTATTAAATATAAATTTTTTTTTATCTTAATCCAAAAATATCAAGGTAAAAACGTTATTATACTTAAAATTCTTCCGATAATTTTGTCTAGATCTTTTAATAGTTTAAAATGTGCAAAATTAATTTTAATTTCATTCAAAAGTTTGTGACTTATAACTGTCTTTCGGTGCTTCTGCAATTTAATTTATAATATATTATTTAAATTCAATGTAATATATCTTGTTTTTATTGACCGGGCTTCGGGCAAATTTTTTAGAAAATTTTGAGCCGGGCTTCATGAAAATTTTTAAAAATTTTGGGTTGGGCTTAGGGCAAATTGTTTTAATAATTTCGGACCGGACGAAAAATTTGACGGGAAATTACGCGAAATTTCTTAACAGACCAGACCTTGCTGACCTTCGGCTTACTATTCGTACTCGTTACTAATGAATCGGATTTTTTAATATTCGGTTTTTTCTGAATATAGGCAATAAACATACCAGCCCTATTCCAACCAATTGCGTAGTAGCCTTTATAATCTCATTAACATTTTCAAAATGTTTATAATGACTTTTTTTAGGCATAAAAAAAATTTTCAAAATTTTATGGGAATTCTTAAAATTTATAGGGGGATCGAGCCCCTGTACTTCCCCGTCCTTTAATGGCGCTGCTGGTTCCAACGTGCCCATACTGTAACATATCAAGAAGATTTAAAAATTCGTCCAAGTTTTTTTTTATAGTAGTATTTTCTTTATCATATATAAAATATTTATCTTTGGGTATAACCAAATGGTACATTAATTTAGAAATGTTATACTATTCTTATTTATGGTTTACTTGGCTTTAAAATTTTTCTTATTAAGCTAGCCATACAAATCAGAAAAAACTTCTAATGTATCACTTCTTTAACATGTTGCTTTGGGTTTAACGCAAAATTTCATATTTTTATACATATCTAGGTAGTAAATGATACTTTCTTAAATGACGCTTCGCTTTATCCATGGCCATTAAACACCAATGCACTAATATAGCAAGTTAAGCACTATATATGAATGTATTTATGCGATGTTTCTAATAAATAAAATTTGAAAATTGATGTGATTACATTAATTTTTGAATATCGATTTCTCAAAATACGATTCATTACTTATCCTAGAAATAAAGTTTTTGTAGAGTTATATCGATTTTCTTTCGAAGAACATACATTGATTTATATCTATTGCTTATAAAAGGTATCTATCTACATAAATATATTATAGGAAATTAGAAAAATGCGACAATTATGGTTGTCTCCTTTCCTTTTCGATTACATTAATCGAAAGTATCCTCAAAGTGATTCATCCAATTATGGTTGTCTCCTTCCCTTTTAGATTACATTAATCGAAAGTATCCTCAAAGTGATTCATGTTAAAGAGGAGGAATCGAGTTAGATCTACTATAAGATAGAATTCTTAAGAATAGATATTGAATATTATTTAAATATTAAATATTAGAGACCTGCAGATTAAGAGGGTACATGGGTCGGGCCTTGGCCGTGCCACAAAAATTTTTTCTTTAAGAATCTGGGCGGGTCGTGCCATATTAAAACCGATTATTTGAAATCGACACTATTAACTATAGTAATTACAAATAAAGCAAAATTTATTTTTAAAAAATCCGGGCTAGGCCTAAAAATATAAAACCCGGGCTGGGCCGAAATTTTTCTTAAAAAATTATTTAGTTCGGGCCGGGCTGTGCAGATGGTATCTCTGCAGGTCTCTGATAAATATATCATACAGTGATCGTCCTTTCGTGTGCAAAATAAAATATAGAATAATATTTTTGAAAAAGGTAGTAGTATCTGTATCTAAGATTCATTTTATCACAAAGAATCTGTAAATATATCTAGATTCTTTTGGCAAGCTTTCAAAAAAGTACGATCCATAAGAAAAGAAATAAAATCTTATTTAATTAATAAAAATAGTAGATCATGTATCATTTTTTAAGGAGTTTTACGAAATAGTCTGCATTAGAAGGGAATATTGTTCGGGTGGATCGATTAGCAAACTTCAATAAAGATAGAATCGTTGAGAATAGCTATATAATTTTATTTAAAAAATAAAAATATTGGAAGGTAAAAGAAAATGAAAAGTAAAAGAAAGAGGAAAATAAATGGGTAAAAGAAAAAAAAAGAGAAGGAAGGTAAATGGAAAAAAAGGAAAAGCGAAAGGAGAAGGGAAAGGAAAGGGGTAAGAGAGAAAGGAAAAGAGAAAGAAGGGGAGTAGGGAAGGGAAATTAATAGGAAAGGAGAAGAAAAAGGAAGTAAAAACAGGGAAATAAAAAGAGGAAGGAAAAGAGAAAGAGAAAAGGGAAAGGTTTGCATTTTCAATTTCATGTTCTACATTTGGTCTTTCCAAACTAGTTTTCAATTGCCTTCCAAAAATAATCCTGGCAGGAGATCTCCTTGTAGAGCTATGCTCACAACCTGTATCATACTTCTGGATCAGAAATTGACTATAGTTGCGTGAAAACGACCTTTCAAAGCTCGTATTGTACCCTCAGCTAATTCATTAGTTTTCTGGTGATAGGGTGTCGATCGTATATGACGTATGTTATTTAATTCACAATACCGATGGAATTCCCCAGATATGAATTGTGGTCTATTGTCTGACACAATATACTTTGGTATTCCAAGCCTAGCAAACCATTTTTTAATCGTGTAATCATAGCATCAGCAAAGGTATTGGGCATTAGATCAACTTCTAACTATTTGGAGTAGGAATCGACACAAATTAGCCAATATCGCGAATCCACTGGTCTAGTAAGTCAAGAATACAGAGATGCATCTTGAATTCCAGGTCTATTTTTCTGGCATCCAGAGCATATTTTGTTAAAATTTTCTATATCAAAATCACTTCTTTGCCACAACAGTACAATCTAAAAATTGATTTTATTTCATTTTCCCTAAGATGTCATCGATGAATCATTCCTATCACTGCATTTCCTAATTTATTAGGAATAATCAATCTCTCATTCTATTCTATAATATCATGATCAATGTCTTTATGACGATAAAAGTTTCGCCAACTTTGCTGAGTGCATTGGTATTTTTTATAATATTAGTTCTTGCTTCGACTCTTTTCGTAGAATATTTTCTGACAATTGCATGTCATCTAATACTTCAAATCTCAAAAGCATGTTTAGAATCTTGATTCTCTTCTATGTCAAATAATATATGATAATATTTATTTAATTAGGGTTAAATAATAATTTAAGTAATAAAAGTCAATTAAACTTCAACTGTTAAACTAAATTAATATTTAGTGAGTTATTGATATTATATTTTTAATACAGAATTTGATTGCAAGCTGACATAGTGAAAATATAATTTATATGTATTAATCTAATCTAATAATTAAAATAATATTCATTTAATAAAAATTTAAATAGTCTTATTAATTCTAAATAATAAAATTATATCTATATATTACTTAATGGAATTATAAAAGAAATCATTCAGTGGGCAATCAAAAAAATTTATTTTTAGTTCAAGGGGGAGCCATTAAAAAAAATTTTTTTGCTTCAGGGGGCTATTCAAATTTTTCAGGGGGCTCGAGCCCCTGCGCCCCCCCCCCCCCCACCTTATTGACGCCACTGTATTATTCCCTTTATCAAATGTATAATTATACTTGGCTTTCTTATTAAACATATTCGTTTTAAATGGATAATTATTTTTATTATCATTTAACTTATTGCCAACCAGCATATTTTTATTTGTCATTTTTTTGTCTGCTAGCTCAGAAGCGTTTGCCAGATCAAGAATAAATGGGAAAGTCAATACATTAGTATCTATCAAGTCCGTCGGGATATAGAGCCCTAAGATCTCTTTCCAATCCAGGCATTTCCATGCCAACCATAATCTAATCATGAAAACTCTCGTCAATATTATTATATTGACAACGCTTACCAATAGTTCTAATTTTATCTGCAAATTTAATTAAGGTTTCAGTTGTTCACTGTAGTCTAACGAAATCAAATCTAGAAGCAAAAGTTGTTGGCGTCTATTTATCCTTAATAGATAAAGTTTCAATCGAACCAGGATAACAGGAACTGTTCATCAACTCAATATTCTTATTGCCACGTCGAAATTCAGTAGGGCTTAAGTTTTTCAACTGAAAACTGGCTTCTCATTGAGAAAAATATCTATATAAACTTTCGCCATCGAATAAATCAATTTAATCGTAGATTAGTCTGCCAATTTTTTTTTATAAACCCAATATTTAGAATATTCATATAAGGAATTATTTTTTCCATTTAAGGAATCGCTACCTGCAGATATTTTTATAAACGACTAATTATTAGCTATAAGATTACCATGGATTAAAATATATCGTTTTATTTATTTTTTTTTTAAATATTCGACTTTTTTATTATTTTTTAAAAAAATATTATAAAATAATTCATATAGTTTACAGAGGATTTAAAAATATATATTAAAATGGATATATTAAAAATTAAATATAAAAAAAATAAATATATAATATATATATAATCTATGAAGACATTAAAAAGGACTATAAAAAAATATATATATTTAAAAAAAAGGTATTTTTATATTATATTTATTAAATAAATTAAAATGTTCTTTTCATATATATATATTTATTACATTTTAATAAAAAATACAATTTATTACACTATATAATTAAAATATATCTTTATATTTGTTATTCTATATATGACACTTTTCTAAAAATACCTTGTTTACATTATAGATGTTTCTATTTTTAACATATACCCATGATATTTTTCATAATTTTTTAAGATTTATTTTTGATATTTATCATAGCATTTGCCAATTTGCATGATTTATTATTTTATTAATATTTTCTATAATTTGCCTCATAGCGATTTTTACCATTGTTGGATTAGATATAAAATATGAAAGCCGCAGATTTAGAAGTCAGAACTTAAATAAATATTTGTATATATTTTTTTGTTTATAGTTAGATTCACAGGAGAAAACTATTGATGATTTGAAAAATAAAATTTTACAAATGAGCGGTACAGAGAGCCATGATAGTGCTATACAAGACAATGACATTTCTAATCTATCTGACGATTTAAGATATACACCTTTAACATTTGCAGATAGCTTTTTCTCGGATAATTTTTTTTCTTTTAACAATCCCAATTATGAGAATGAAAATTTTAGTGAAAGTATGTTTAAACTTTCTCAAAAAGTTGAAATCTGCGATATTGAAGATATCAATTTTGGAGATTCACCTGAAGAAGTACTAAATTCCCAAACCTTTGTTCGAAACCTTATATTAAAAACTGATATTCCTTCAATACCAAATACCCTTTTATTCAATATAATTGACAATAAAATTGAAACAGCTACTGATTGCTTAGATAAAAATATAGAGAATATTAATACATATCTTGAGTTAGATGACAATTTAAATAAAACAAAATTAAAAAATGTGGATTTAACTGATTTACAAAATGAGATACCAATTATATTAGATAACAAAAGTAGCATTTCTTATTCTGCCACTTCTCAAAATATTGAAAGTCTAGATACTAATTCATATAAAGATAATGTTATAGAAAAACCTGATTCTAATATGTCTGAAGCTGACGATGAATTTTCTATTAAAAGTCAAAACATACCCAGAGATTTAAGTAATGATTCAAATCAAGATAATGTAAGCATTACTGATGAAAAGGTTTTAGAGATGAGCAAAGATAAAATAAAGCCTGAAAATTTAAAAAAGAGAAATGTACCATCTACACCTAAAGGTAGAATTATTATTATTTTTTATTATAACTTTTTCTAGGTCCATTTTATTTTCATGACACAAGAAATGAACTTGATATATCAGTAAATATTACTGAACATAATATCTCTCAAGGAAGTTTAAAGGAAAAGTATATGATTCATTATATTATATTTATACATATGACAAATATCTAGTGATAACAATGAAAATAAAATTTTAAAAACGAAAACTGATAATAAATGGACTCATGATCTATATGATGAATATGAACAACGTGCTAAAGATGCTGAAGAAATAATATGTGTTTATGGCTATAATATTAGAGAAAAAAATGGCAAAACTCTTAAGTATAAATTGATAAAAAATCCTTTTACATCAAATGAGTGTTTATAATATTATTAAAAAGAACAAATCTTTTAATATATCTAACTTTATTTATTTTGCACTTTACTAGGTATCTAACTTGATATAATTTACAATTAGATAATTTAAATAGTCATAACTTTAAAATTAAAATAAGTTTACAGACTTTTTCTTAAGCTAAGTGTTGATTCACTTTTTACACTGATTGGTTGTCAAATGTTATAGTTGGGAAGGTCATAGTCCAAGGTTTACTAAAGTTTTGTCTTATATTGTGATTATCTTAAATAAGAAGGTTTAAACCTCAAAATTTTCATAGCAAAAAGTTTTGGTCAAAATGAGGGTTTTTTTAACATCTGCTCTTCTAATAAATTTATGAATATTCATAAAATGTTGCCTGGAGATGACTTGCCAAAAACCAATATGAATCACTATAAGATTAATTATTTATTTTTAAATTTTTGAATAATAGAAAAGTTTATTTAATTTACTAGTCAAAGTCATAAAATGACAACTTCTCAATTTTTTTAAAAGAGATTTATGTTAATTATTTTTTATCTAAAATATTAAAGTAATTTTTCAAATATTTTAATTCACAAATTTGATTTAATGGATTTATTTACAGATTTTAAGCCTTCCTTAATTAAATTAATTATTGTAAAAAGTTAATCAATTAATGTTCTACTTAAATTTTCAATTTTATAATTATACTTACAATTGAAATGTTTCCAAATTTTTGTAATTGGGTAGATTTTGATCTTAATATCAGAGATACACTGATATAAATACTTTACATTGTTAAGGTGCTAAAAGCTGAAATCATGAGAATTTTTTAAAAAAAAATTTATGAAAAACTAGGACCCAATCTGTTATATATAATTTTAAAATGGTAAAGATATGTGTTAAGGTTTTAAAAATATGAAGTTTTTTCTAGGCTTTATACTATTCATTTATATTATAAATTGCAAATTATTAAATATACATTAAGTAAAATAAATATTTAAAAATATTAAATTAACTATAAAATTTAAAAAAAATATAATTATTAGAATTAATTTAATTTAACATAATAATTTACATTAGCACATTTCTAACGAAATCATTAAAAAAAAATAATATTCAAGTTAATTATATATATATGTCTAATAGAAACTCTCAAGAGAAAAGTAAAGTGCAAGTTATCACATATTGTACAGTGTTGTTAAACAGCTAAGCTCAATATTTAAAAACGGCTAACCCAATATATTAACCAAAAAGTATTAGTCAAGCCTGAAGATTTTACTTATAGATAACAGAGAGATTTGGACATCTATTAACGAAAACTAGAAGCTTGCATAATATTTTTTAGCTAAAATATTGGATTAGCTATTTTTAAAAATCTAACCGTTTAGGAACACGAGTTATAATTTATATATATATATATATAACAAAACGGTTTTAACCCAGTTTAAAAAAATTATAGAGTTCAGTTCGTTCTTTTTGGCGATTTAGCATAGAGGTTTGGCTACGGTTCTTAATTATAACTGTTCGTTCTGGTTTAACGATTCAGATCACTACAAGTCCCTGTGTAAAACAAAACCAAATAATAAAAAAACTATTTTATTATTATTATTAATTTTTTTGTTTAATATAATATTAATTCTTTATATAAAAATCTTTTTATGCTGGCATATTTGAACTAAAAATTATGATCAGTGGTCTTAACATTACCTTAAAAGTATAATGTCTTTATACTCGCTACTTTCCATAAAAAAGAAACACATATATTTAAATGAAATTAATAAATATTTAATAAGTATATTTAATTTTGGTAAGCCTAACCCAAGAATGGTTTTTGATTAAATTTAATCCATTTTTATTGATCACCAGTTAAATCTGACCGATATTGTGATTTTAGACAGGTTGATATAAATTAGCTCTAGTGGGAACATAATCCTTCATTTGGACTAATAATCTTGAACTTTTATCTAAGTTCGTCGATAATTTTAAAAAGTAACGTTAGTTAAAAAGTAAAACAAAAAGTAATGAATGATCTTACCATTTCCCTACATAAGTAACATTTCCAGCATTGTTGAATAGTGATCAAAAAAATAAATTTAATATAATTTTGTGTTTGCTTTTTATATAAATAAATATTTTTTAACAATAATAAATTGTCTTGGGAAAGATATAGAATGCATATCTGATGTTTTAGGTAAGAAAAAATTTACTTGTTTAATTTGAGAATTTGATTGTTTTATTTTACTTAAAACTAAACAGGGGGAAAAGGCAGGATGTGAGATTTTAAAAAAACGAATTTATGTTAAGTTTTAATTAGGCCAAGCACCAATTTCACCTTTTTTGCTAATATTGATACTACTGGAAAGTTCATCAATTTTTATTTGTTTTAAATTTATAATATTATGATCATGGTATCGAACCCAAACCGAAATTATTATTTTCTGAACTGTAACTATAATCAAACCGAACCATTATAAAGACTTTCAAGGAAGAGTAGTTGCTATGCTAAAACCTTGAGGCTGAAACGTTAGTCTTTAACTAAGAACTCGATTTAGAATATTTTTGGAGTCAACTCAAGAGTGAATTAAATGAGGCTATTTTGGAACACTATTCCTAATCTACCCACTTAGCTGAATTTCTTAGTTAAATATCCTCATAATTTTGAAAATAAATCTTTTCGTTTTTCTTATCAAAATTCGATATTTTTTAAGGATCTATCAGTTTTATGACTTAAATTACTTTGATAACAATTCGTTTTTTAAATTATTTATTGAGTTTTCTTAAAGAAAGAATTGCTATTATATTGATTTATAATACTCAATTAATTTTTTAAAAAAATCAATAAGCTCTAGATTACCTCGAGATATGACACGCCCAAATCATGATATATCAAAAGATAGAAAAAGTCATTTTAAAGTGTCACATAATAATCGAGATGATTTCTTAAAAAAATCGCGTTATCAAGTAAGACATTCTTCACCTTCTAATAAAAGAGCCATCAAACCATTGATGGATATATCCAATCAACACGATAAAAATTACCCAAAACAAGAAAAAATCGGTAGCAGCTACACAAAAATGAAAGAATCAGAGAAGTTAAAAAACCGTTCCTCTGATGATTTTAACGATGCATCGAGTAATAACCAACAACGATTTTATAATAATAAGCCATTTACTAAACCCGATTTGGTACAACCTCCTAAAAAATATTCACAAATGAGGGAAAAAACAAATCAATCTAAGGAATCACCTATGAATTCTTCCATTGTCCGCAAAAACAATCTAGATAACCGATCCAAAGAAAATAATTCAAATGAGTATTTAGAACAACATTCTAAAAAATATTCTGAAATGACGGAAAAGATTAATCATCCTAAGGAATCATCTAAAAATACGTCCAGTACCAATTTTAGCAATTTAGGTAACCAACCCAGAAGTAGTTACCCATATGATAAAGATACTGACAAATTATGGTTTAAAAGTCGTAATAGTGATAGAGACGACCAAAGGAGATCTAATTCAAAGGGGCCCTTGGACAGATATAATAGAACTAATCATGATAATACCAAACGAAATTATAGAATGAACGATTCTGGCTACAAAAGCTATCCTTCATTTAGAAGTTATGGCGAAAAAGAAAACTCATTAAATAAAAGCGTTGAGAAGGTTGTCCTAACAAAAGATCATAATGATAAAAAGCCACCAGAAATAAATAATGACTTTTATGATAGGCAAGATTACTCTCACCGGAGTGGCCCAAATAAGAACAATTACTATAGGGATGGTCGCTATGACATGGAACATAAATCTAATAATAATAGATCTGATTCTTATAATATAAATTATGAAAAATCAAGGAATATTTCTTCCAAAGCCTATACTAAATCTCGCATACAGCAATATTCCGAAGATACAAATGATATGAAGCAAAATAATAATGAAGCTGGTTCTAATATTAGGAATACCCCTCGAAAATCTTATCCTAATTCTCCTATAAATCAAAGTAAATGGGATGATAACGATTTAGCATTCAAACAGAAAAACCCTATTTCACGATTTATCAATGACATAAATCACAATGATAGCCAGAAATATCACAATAATTCAAGATTTGATGATGCAAATAATAGCCCAAAGTATCCCAATAATTTAAGATTTAACGATGCGAATAATAGCCAAAAATACTCCAATAGTTCAAAATTTAATAATGCAAATAATAGCCATCATTATCCATCACATGAAAGACAGGGTAATATATCATATAACAATCTAGATGATGCTAATTATGGAACCCATATTTATGGTAACAACCGAATGGGAAATAATCGATACCATGATTTTCCACTTGATAAAGGCCGGACCAGATTTGAATCAAATGAATTTAACAACCCTGAAAACAAATATGGTGAATTAGACAATAATGAGAATGATAATCATATTATCATATTTGAAACTACAAATGCAATAATTCATCAATTATTTTGATAATTTTTTTTAAATATAAGGGATTTTTATTACAATTTTTATAAGTATTTATTGCTCATTACCCCTAATATATTATAATTTCATATTTTTTAAATTTAAATAAATTAATAGCAACCCTTACAAAATCGAAAAATTCTAATAGTAATTCAATTATTGATAATAATCATCAAAAACAACAAAGTTCACATATTCAGTATTCTGAATCAAACTATGCACCCAATTCCATTACTTATAGTTTATCTCATAATAAGAATGATTATAGTAGAAATAATAATAGTTACAAAAATAATATACTTTATAATAAGCCTAATTTATCACAAAAAGTTTTTACTTCACAAAATTTTCATTCAAATAATACTGTTTCAAACACTTACCATAACTCTATAAGTTCAAAATCATATTTTTTAAATAAAAGTGTGAATGCTTCTAAATTTATGGAAACCAGGAATACTTACTTGACAACAACTGCAAAATCAAATTTAAATTATTTGCATCTTAAATCCAATCCTATTATGAATAATTGTTCTAATAATGGAGGAGATCTATTAAATCTATTATACTTTAATTCTACATTAAATAATCACCATAATTACTTTGATTTTGGCAATCAATTGAAGCCATGTATATAATATTATTTTTTTTAAATCAATATTTTGCTCAATAGTCATTAAACATAACATCTCTTATACAATATCAATGCTTTGTTTTATTTAGATTCCCACAATCCTGGATTCAATTTACCTCACATTGATTCACATATTCCTAACCAATTTAATCATAATCAATTCCCATTCCTTTCACCTTTGCCTCAAACAAATATCCAAAGTCAAATGAATTCTTTACCTTTCAATTTTCACCATATATTACCACAATCTCACACTCAATATTTATATAACCAAAGTATCCCAAGAATGAATAAAGATATGAACAATACTGGAGTTTTGGATAATTCTATTCCAAATTTTGGGACAACAACTTTCAACTTGAATGAAGAATTATTACAACCCAATGCCATGCCTCCAGATATTAACCATGATCCATCAAGCTCTTTTTATTATGATATTTATAACAATAATATTATGAATAGTTATAATAATGTTGACTCCTTTCCTATTTCTTCAGTATCACCTCACTTAAATATTAACATGTTCCCAACATTTCCAAATCAGCATAATAATCTTTTTACCAATCCAAATTTATTTGATAATCCAAACTTGGGCCTGTTTGAATCTTTATATAATCTGTCATCCGTGAATACACATATATCAGAAACAGCTTATAATAATGGTGATGTAGTAAATCATATAGGTGGTAATAATAAACATTACATCCCTGAATTATATGATAAATCAGAAAATAGTTTGAAAAATAATAAATATCAAGGTGAAAATGATTATAATAAGCCAAATAACCAAACTCTACAAGTAATTAATTTTAAAATTTACTAATCCTTATATTAGAATTTTAAAGATGTAAAAAGACCCACATATAAACATGGTATGGCATACTTCAACAATCTACAAAAAGATGGTAAAACAAATAAAGTTACCGGAAAAACTTCTTTGGAAAACAAATAGTTTTAAAAAAAATTCATATATATTATATTGCTTAAATATAAAAAATTAAATATTTTTGCTTATAAAAATTGTATCAAAATAAATATATAATACAAATATTAATATATTGATTTCTTGTTTTCTTTGTATAAAAAATATAATTTTATTTTATAGGAGTTGTTTGAACTTTTTTTTATATGATTTATATGTATAACTTCAACATGCTTTATTAGAAAATATGAGATTATACCATAAGCTAGACAAGGAATACCTTTATTTAAAATAAATAACCTATACTAATTTTTTTTATATGATTACCCAAATTTAGAATTTTTATGAAACGATAAAACAAATCTGTAACCCTTAAATTTTGATAGTTTGATTTTGTACAATGATATTTTATATATGGGAAACAACCTAATCTTAGAATATGGTAATTATCTTTGTTTTTTAATTGTAAATTGAAATTTGACATTCCAAATTGATCATCTTTAACCTAAATTTTAAAAAATTATACTATCAAAAATTTATATTACATCACTATATTTCACAAAAAATGAAGTCCAAAACGGATGATTGGCTTCTAAGTAACTTGAAAGTACATAAGAAGCAGGGATTTTATTTGAAATTTTAAGATTGCATTTCATCATATCATATATTTTAAATGTTAGAATTTAAAATAACATGAAATTATAATATTGACAGTTTTCAAGAATGCTTTCTTAAAATCAATATTTTGAAGCTTATGTATAATAATCACAAATACTTAAATAAACATGATGGCAATAAAAGAACGTAAAAAATTCCTGATCTGATAAAGCTGGAATTCCCTAAATAGTGGCAATTTCAGCACATATATTGGGAGAATAGAATAAATTAACAATTCCAATGCTGAAAAGGCTACCGAGTTCCAAATTCGTTAATACCTAAACAGTTTGTATGGAGGCTGAACTCGGTAACCCCTTAGCTCTAATAAGAAAATTCAGGGCTGATTTCTATGCGTCGATCAAAAAAAGGATGATAGCCAGCGATAGAGTACTTATATTTACCTACTTTAACCATTACCTCATTTATTAATGTTTAATTTAATTCTCCAATAAGTGCTGATATTACCGTTTATAGCTTATTAGTACGATAACATACCTGTACCTAAGATAATATACCTTATTAATATTATAAAATTATTCATATCTCATATGTGAGTAAGTTTTAATTTTAAGTAACTACCTTTGATAAGGTTTAAGTACTTACCAAACTATCCATATTTCCTAATTATGACTCCATTTTATATGAAATTATTGCTTTATGTATCTATATATTATCATAATTTTATTTTATCATTTCATTTAATTGTGTCATTTTGAATATTTTATTTATTACCTTTTGTTTATTTTGACTAATATATATTATAGCCTAAAAAGGAAGATGGAAATTAGAAGTCATTATTTAAAGAAGGAATTTGAATCAACAATTTAAATACTATAGTTACATTTTGTGCTAGTGTTATTGTAAATTTAAAATTCGTAGAATAACTAGTTAATATTAGTGTAGTACATAAAAACAATAATAAAACGAAATGAATTCTTAGAAATAAAATGACTAGATAAAAATTTTTTATGCTAGATAATAAATCATACAATTTTAATTTAATGATAGAGCGAAGTAGGATATTTTTGAGTAAAAATATTAAAAGAAAATAAATCTTAGAAATAATGTTAAGACTAGATAAGTTTTAATATTAAGTGCGCAGTACGATATTGTTGAGCATAAAATATATATAATAAAAGAAAATAAATTCTTAGAAATAATATAACGAATAGATAATATTTTGTATTAGATAAAATTTGTTCAATTCTTTATAATATTTTTGAGGATCGCAATAGCCATTCTTAAGGCTAATTATGTTTGTTTTATTAATTCGATTTCTCCTGATGATTAGATGAAGGTTTTGAATAATTTTTGCTGCTTTCGCTTTTTTTATTTTAAATTATTTTATGATCTATGCCTCATGTCCTTTTGTTATTATGATTCTTTTTTTCGTAATCCTACTAATTATATATTTTTTTGATATTTATTATTCATGTTGGAATATGAAATTTATATATAAAAAATATTTTGTTAAATTTAAAAAAAAATGATTTAACAAGTTTATTATCTCTTCTAAAATTTTTGTAATATAATCTGTGATTCAATGAGTAATTATAAATAAGAATTATTTTATTGTCAATTTAGACGCCCTGGAGATAGACTTAGTATAAATTCAACCATTTCTTATAAAATTTTCTGTAAGGGATATTATTTAACTCGGGAGAGACAGGAAAAAACTGATGTAGTGAATGTATAATTATAAAAAATAATCGCCAGATACTTTTGAAGTTCGAAGCTCTAAACAGCAGAAAATGTAGTATTAAGCTAGAAACGAGGTGTAATTCTAAATATTGTGAATGTATATATGCCAGCTAACTACCTTGAAAGGCTGGCACTTATCTATTATAGTATGTAAACAAGTTTCCAAGCATGAGAATCTACTTTTGGTTTCAATGCTAAAGTGGGGCGATCAGGAATGAAGAACCATAACTCCCTAGGTTGAGCACTTGATATAAATTTAGGGTGGCAAACAACTCCTGGAATTATGTCGAGATCTTGACCTTGGTGTTGCGAATACTTTCTTCGAACATTGACCTTGGAGGTATTTACATGTTATAGCCAATCGTATAACATATGGTCACAAATTGATTACTTCATTTGCTCTAGGACGACGATCAGTTAGACAAACAATATAAAAGTACTTCACAAGGGAGAGTATAATTCAGATCACAGATTTATTATATGCTATATGAAGATTGATCCTAAATCTGGTACAGGAGAAAGAAAAGGAATGGTAAAATGAATGAAAAGCGTGGAAAACTAGATAATGAGGCCCTGTGCGATCAAAACGTAAATGATCAATCAGGGATTTGAATCCTTCTACAAAGAAAAGCCGGACTTAGAAATAAATTTAAAAAAGGTTTGGGTTTTGTGAGAAAAAAGAAATATTGTCTCAATCAATATTTAAAAAATTACATCATTTTTATTTTATTATTCTACTCCATATAAGGATTTTACTGGCAAAAAAATAAAAATCGTTTTTATTAAGTATTTATCAAACAAAATTAAAAATGCATTAACTTTATATTTACATAATATATTAGATTTTCCTGCAAATCATGGTCCGATCAGAACGGCGCTTGGGCCGGGCCTATTATTCGGTTCGGGCTGGGTCAGATTTAATAAAAAAATTCGAGCCGTCCTTAAATTTTTAAAAAAGGTATCAAATTTTGTGAAACAAATTAATATATCTTAATATTCTTGCAAGAAACAAGGCACAAATATTTTTTTTTACAATAATATTTAAATAGATTGGGGCTGGGTTGATCGGATAAAATATTTATTTTGGGTCGGGCTTCTCGGGGCAAATAAAAAATTTTCGTTCGGAATGAGGTCGGGTGGAACAAATTTTACAAAAAATTTCGGGCCGGGTAAGGCTTAAAAAATTAGGACTTATTCCTATTATATTAGGATAAATAAAATTTAACCTACAAAAATGGATGACATTTTATAGAAAGCAAAGAAAAAGGAAAATAATTTCACGAAAAATTCTTTTATTTATTATAAATTTTTTTGGAGACCTTAAACCCTCAACTTTTAAAAAGAGGGTTAAGCGGGTTAGGATTCACGTCTCTGCTTTTAATTAATGAATTATACAATCTAGTAGTATATATATATTTGATGCTATGAAGGTTAAATGTCCTGAATCCACCCTATGTTAAAGCAATAAATGAACCTTCTAAATATAAATCGCACAATATTTTGAAACAAAATATATAAATTATTTGCGTTTTTGTTAGAACCGCTTCCTGAAAATTTCAAAATAGGTTCTGCTTCCTATAAAATTTTAAATAGGGAAGGGGGGGGGGGTTGGAATTTACATTCAAAATATTTTTAAAATCATGAAATGGGTATAACGCAATGAGTCGCCATTTTAATGAGGATGGTGGTAATGTGTAATTTACTCATAAATTATTTTATATCGATTTTTTAAATATGTAATATAGTATTTATCTAATTTATATTCAGCATAGTATAATTCGAATCCCCCTCGTTAACTTCGTCGCTTTTTATGATATATTAATTTATTAATGTTCTCTCAAAGAATTATTTATATATTTTATTAAATTCGTATGCAAAATAAAAACTATATATAGTTTTAAAAAAATAAAAATAAATAGCAAATCGGATATATATAATATGTATATACGTAATAATTTAATATGCATCCATATCCTACTATGGTATATATAATATATTAATTATTATAAATTTATAATGCAATATGAGAAAAAGAAAGAAGATATTACATAAAATTAAATTAGGGAAGGGAAGGGGGGGGGGAAATGTAATAATAGATTATTCACATTTTAAAAAAGAAACATTATAATCTTGATTTATTGGATTTGTTATTTGTAACCAAATAATTTATTTTTCCAAATTAGGATAAATTAAACTGTACGATATTTATTATATATTAAGTTGCTTGATTATCAGAGGAATCAAGATTCCGCTTTGATCAATTTAAAAATAATAATAAATAACATGCTACCTAGTTATTTAGAATTAGATTTTATAACATTTAAAAAAAAAACATAATTTAAAATTTGTTTAAGTTTTGGATACTATTTTAACCCTAGCTCATTTTTGACCAGAAATAGAGTTAGAACCCTATAATAATCAAGCAACAAATACAGCATTTCTTGTACAAAAACAATATACAATAGTTTTTTTTTTCTAAAATGAGATTCCATAATCGTTAATAAAAAAATAATAATGAATAATGAAGATATTTTTTATATAGGGTTAATTTATCGCAGTTTGAAACAATGACAAATGACCATCAATTCATAAATTAAAATGTTCATCATAGAAATCAGCAGGCAACATGCCATTTTGGTTTAAATATTAAAGAAATCAGGGTTTCATTAATTTTTTTATACGGGAAACACAAATGCCATCAGCTGCTGTATTCAATGACATTTTAAAAAATGCATTTTAACGAATCATCAGTTAAGGTAATTATTAAAATGTCATTGGTTTGAAATAAAAGTCCTAACTTGGAAAAGAAAAATGGATCATACACAAAAATTTAGATTATTTTTTCATCAGCTATTTTGGAATTTGTCAAAATTTGCCAGTAAAAAAATACATAATTATTATTTTTTTATACATTCAAATATAATTTATAATATGAATGAGGTGAAGTTATATATAGAAAAAAAACTAAAGACATTTTACATAACTCTTAAATAATTAAAGAGATGCATAAACCTTAAAAAATTATAAAACACGTAATGCCCATCATCTCGAATAATTTTTTTGTTGTTACAAATAAAAGATAAAAGTAAGAATTATTTATGAAACTATATAACTTTATAATTTATAGGTGGCCATAAAAATGGCGCAATTGATGTTAAAACCCTCATAATACACATATTTTTCGTCGTGTTTTAGTTGTTATCATCTAAACCGCTTCAAAAATAAAAAAAAATAGATACTGTTGAAAAGCCTCGGCATTATAAAAATGGGTTCGTAGTTGCACAATGAGATTGCGAATTTACATTATTGTTAACCTTTTTTTTGGTATTATATATAAAAAAATAAATTAATTAATAACTGATATTTATTTATTCCATTTTTACTGATATTCGCTATTTAACTTAAAATAAATAAATTATTTCCCATGCAAGACTTGACTTGATGAAAATTTTAAGCCCTCAGTATTATATTGGGGGATATATGATACCAGACGTGTTAAAATTAATATCGAAAGTGGTTATTTATTATGATCTGAAACACTCATTATCTTAGAATATATCAAAATCTTCCTTAATTTAAGTTGTGTAGTTTTAAAAATATAAGGTAAACATTATTTAGGCGTAGTTAATATATGAAAAAAACTTAATTTAGAATGGATACTATATTTATAAAATGTCTTTTTTTAAAATATCTACTAAAAAAATTATACTTATATTTAAGGTTAAATTTTTATTACCCTTTTTACAAAATTCTGGCATAAGTTATAATTGTATATATATTTTTTTAAACTAATTATAGATATAAAAAAATATGTTTTATAAGAGAGAAAAAATGGAAATGGAGATATATTAGTTCAATATTTGGGTCTGTGGTTCCAATGTGCTTGATATTAATTTTGACTGGCGATTTATTCAGTAAAAAGTGTAAACATAATTGAAGTTCGCTATTGAGAGTACAAACGAAATTAGAAAGACAATAAAAATGCATTTCAATAGCTGTCTTCAATGTATGTAAACTTATAATAAATAAATCTTCAGTTTTAGGTTAGCCACTCGTCAGAACCAATCACAGCGCTTATATTTTTTTACGAGAGTGCTCTGAAGGTCTAAATAAAATATAAAATAACACTAAAAAAGGTGCGCTTGTATTAAAATACAATAAAACTCACTGAAAAGTTCCCAACCCCAGGTTTGTAATAAAAACTATTTTGTTTTTCTGTAGATCCTCTATTCATGTGTCCTTGGTAGATATAATTACCATTATTAGGGGAGCTATTATTGAATTGCAAGGTCTGATTATATCTCGAGCTCAGAATATCTTGATTCAAAAGAATAGGAGCCTCATTGTGATTGAAATTATAGCTAGAAGCAAAGACCGGGTTAGAGGGATGATAATGATTAGCGTAGCCATTGATTGGTCGAGATAAAAATGGATTTTTGACTTGTGTAAAATTTTTTAAAAAAAATCATAAATGTAAAACTACGTTATTTTAAAAATGTCACGCTAGCGTTATTCTAAATAAAATAGAACCAACGCGTTTATGGTACTCCTTAAGTTTCAATGGCTTCCTTCTACATATAATCTTTATAAAGATGTGATACAATAATTATGCCTTCATGACAAAAATATCAATATTTCGCTAGTCCAGACTCGGAGTGATTGGGAGAAAATTAAAAAGGTTTATCAATCAATTTAAGTAAAAATAGGAAATTAATAATACTATTTAATGTTAGCATAAAAAGATTGTTCAAAAAATTATGAGCGATTAATTTAATAAAATAAAAATAATAAGTTATTTGAATAATCAAACTGAACTAAAAATCATAATGATTAATATTTAAATGATAATTTTTTTGTTAAATTTTTAAAAAAGGTGCTATAAACGTGATTAAACATGATAGGTATATGTATGAAAAGAATAATGCCGCCAAACATCAATATCTATAAATCTAGTTTATATATTTATTGGTTAATTAATAACTTAAACTATTAACTCAAAAGCGACGAGGGGCACTCCAGATCCAATTTTAAACCTCATGATTTATAACTTTTTTAAAAAACTTAAATTTATTAAACTCAACAAAAAATTACCATTTTCTCCAGCTATATTATTATATGTTTGCATAGGGCCGTTCTCTTCAAATCCATTAGAAAGGGCGTAACTAGGGTGGTGATTAAGATTGGTGGCATGATGATTAAACTGCGAATGATTAGGAAAATTTTGGAAATTGGTATTCAAATTATTGATCTTTTTATTCCCATCTGTATTGAGCGTGCAGCTATTAAAAGCGTGATCTAGTTCCGCTAAGGCGCTGTATTTATCTATAGGCGGAACTTTTTTTAATATAACAGTGAATTTAGGCGTTTTAATTTTTAGAAACATATATATTTATAAGATTAAATTTTTTTTTCTCAACAAACTCTAATGAAATTATACCATATTAAGAAGGTTAAAAGATTTACTATTGTTGATAGGCTTATTCGAACTGCTTTTGTCGTTGGAAAGAGACAATGGATAATTTTTATGATCCGTTGTAGAATGTTCCTGCAATGAATGGGAAGGAACCAAGGGTCGGGTGTCTATGAAGGAAGAAAACGTGGAGGTCGTTGATTTAGTGAGTGGAGGCAATGGGTTGGAATATGCTAATAAATTAATAATTATTGAAAAACAATTAACCTGAAATCACAGTTATTAAATCAGTAAAATATTCCTTTTTTTTAATAAAAAAACTATTTCAACAAATTATACCGAGATTATCTTTCCTTTTATTATTAATGTTGGTCGACGAATCGAAAAATGCATCAGTAAATTCATTTTCGCCACCGTTTATACTAGTTCCTAGCGTGGTAAAACTGTCCTCGAATGAGCTCATTTTATCTCTTGCTAACTTATTTTCAAACTGAAACTTGTTATTTGTATCAGGGGCAGGGCCGTCGATTGTATGGGCGGAATTTATATTGTAAGAATTGTGTAGAGTTTGAGATATTTTCCTCTTTGTTACGTGTTGAGCAGGAGGTTTTATAGCGAAAAGACCGTTGTTAAGCTTGAAAATATTATTTAAAAAAAAAAAATTTTGTAATTATTTAAAGAGGAAAAGTATATTAATTACATCAACTTGCGCAGAACAAACAAATCTTTTGATTTAATATGATAATAATTGCTTGCGTACTTTTTATAGGGTGTAATCAGGATATATAATCGTCCATGTTTTAACTAATAATCTTAAGGTTAAAAGAAAAATATACACTTATAATGGCAATGTAAGTATGCCATTCCCTGTCATATCACTCACATCTTTCAAGCCCAATGATTATATGTCATAGTTAAAACAAAACTAATTTATCTTACCTGGGATAATACGAAATGAAAAATTAAGAAAAATAATCAAACACATGTAATACTCTAGATAAGAAGAAAAATAATTTTTTTTTTTAAAAAATGATCTTTTTCTATATTTGTTTCAGATACAGGTTGGGCCCTAAGCCCGGGTTTACTTTATTTTTATTAAATATACCTGGATCGGGCCTAAAATTTCCAAGAAAAATTAATCTACAAATTCTCAACAGATTGTTGCGAAATTAACTTCATCGCAAAGGAATAAAAGCAAAATAATAAATGACGATTGGAAAGTTTCGCTAATAATCGAATGATAATTCGATATGGCCTAAAAATTAATAAAAAAATTTGTGTAGTGAAGATTTTTTCTACAAACTGTAAGTTTATTTTATCACTTAACTTAAGGATACAATTTTGAGTTAAGATTACTTTACAAAGCTTCATTAGAGAATTTAATTTTTTATATATAAATTTTATATTTTATCATCCTGAATTAAAGAGAATTTTTTTCTTCATTTGCCTTGATATTAATAAAATCGACTGTTTTCTAAAATATTTTTCTCATAAATGTTGAATCTACTTTACACTTAAAAATAATTTATTTAAACACTTTTATTATTTTAATTTTTTATTTAACGATCCTTATAATAAATTTGGTGAAAACAAAAATATGTATAGATAAAGCTAGATGGGTCAAACCCCTTTAAAAAAAAGGAAAAAACTATTAATAATTTATGAAGAAATTAACTAGCCTAGCCATAATATTGAAGAAAATATTAGGAGATTAGTAAATAAAACAGATCAGTTATAAATCTTCATTAAATTATTATTTATAATTAATATCAATCAAGTAATGAATATCAATTAATATTCAGATTATCTAAGAAATTAATATCCAAAGCTATGTAAAATGGGTAATATTTGAAGCCTTGACTCATATTATCTCATGTAATAAATATATGTATAAGCTAATGAATTAAAATTTGGTATTTGTTGTTGCTTATAACATGATATAACAGTTATATTTTTATTGTAATTGAAAGAGTTAAGCAAAAATCTCTTTTTTTGCGATTGACATGAAATTACCTTTAAATAATAATAAATATTTCACAAGTTATAAATCCTGTACTTTAGGTGAAAATGATAAAGACGAACAATTCGAACTAAAGGGGGATCCGCCATGGGAATTGCTGCCCGAGTAAACGCCGTTACATTTAGTTGCAATCGCATCTCTATGGTTACCCCCCGCGACAATACCATCCGTACCTAATTCGGTAGTCTCGTTATTTCGGCATTTGAGGAGGCTAATGTATTTTTGGTAAATGGTAGTTATAGCTTTAAATATTCCACCTAGCCTTAATAAAAAGGATGGACGCGATGTATTTAGGGGCAAGAAACTATAGAATTTTTTTTTATTTTTAAGAGCTTACGAATGACCAAGGTTGACCCCGTTTTCGTTCGAATTATCGTTAGTTGGTATTTGATCGTCTAAGAGATAAAAGTTGAAATCGCCGGTACATTTTGAAGTTTGTTGGGCAACGGGTGGTGGCATGGAAAGAACAACAAAAGAGGAAGACAGAGAGAGGGAGGAAGTGGAATCCTTGCCGGCGGAAGAAAAGGACCCGCTTTTTTCGCTTTTGCGGGAGGAGGAAGAATGAGTGCCGTGTTTAAGGGAGAGTTCCTTTTCCCTTTCAACCTTTGTTTATTGTGAGAAGAAAAAAAGACATTTTTTTGTTATAATATTAAAACTTTACATATTCCCCATTACATATTATATGAAGGCAAGGGGAAGAAAAAGTAGAAAAGCTTTTATATAGTCAAAAGGACAATGGATTAGATTAATGTAATAAAAAAAAATTATGATATTTAAATGTTATATAAAATATTAGCAAATACTTGTTAAAAGAAGATTTCCCTAAGCTTTAAATTCATACACAATTTCTATTTTTACAAAACTAAATTATTTTAGAAAGCATATTTTGTGATTAAAAAAAATCGCATTCTTTAGCTAGTCACTTACCTTCCTTCTCGACTAATAAAAGGAGCAAATATGGAATGAGAAACAATAAATTCATAAAATTAGTATTATCTTGATTTTTATCGGCCATATTTATTAAAGACCATCCAAACGAAAATTATTTTATGGCCGGCCTAGTCCGAATCTTCGTAGATTTGGTTAATTCGATTCAAACTATTTCTCATTTTTTCAAGTTGATAAATTTTGCTTTTAATTTTATTTTCGCATCATGACTAAAACTCGAGAGGAAAAATATCTCTTTCCATTTTCAGTATTTTTTTTTTCTCTAGATAATAATAAAGATTCCCCCCCCCCCCTAAAAAAATTATATATAATCAATCAATGATCTTTTTTACACAACATTATTTTAAAAACACAAAAAATTGGATTTTAATGAAATTGAAGCATGTTTTAAATTTACTTGCTGTTGGACTTCCTCCAGCGACACGTACCACATTTTCTTTTCGTATTTATCCATCATGAAATCTTTCATTTTGTGTTCGTCCTTGCAAGAGTCAAGGATGCAGTTCTGAGATTTTGGATCGAATAGTCCCAACCAAATTCGTTGACAATACTTTTTAAATATTTTGTAAGGAAAAAAAATTGATATTAAAGCATAATGAGTGCCATAAATAAGATTACATTGAGGTGTCATGAGTTTTGCACCATCCACTATGACGGTTTAAAAAGGTAGTACTTTTATGGTAGAGATCTACTACTACAACTAAAAAAAATTAGTTTTTCTGCAATTTTTTTAAATAAAGTAATGAAGCTCAAATAATCAATCAAATAGGTTTTATGGTCATTTACTAAAAAAATCGATACCAAATTAATAAAATTAAGCAAATAATAAAAATTATTTTTGAATACAGATGGAAAACTTGCTTATTATTACTTTTTAATGATATATATATATAATTAAAATTATAGTATTTTCATTTATAAATATATAAAACTTATATATTATAAATAATTATGATAGAATAATGTCGCGATGTTATATGATGATATGAGAAAAAATATGAATAAAACATAATTGAGCTCAAAGGCATAATTAATAATAATTTATTTAATAATATAGTTTCGTGAAATATTAATAAAAAGAAAATATTTTTTTTTCTACGAAAAAGAATTTTAATTTCTTGAAGTGAAATATTTTTGACAAGAAATGTAATAGCACGCGACTAGGTGAGTAATAATTAGTAAATGAGATTTTGTTTGATGTATATTATCAAAAGGCGAAAATTCAGGGATTCCTCGTTTCAGTTGAGACTGCGTAGCCTCCCTGTTCAAACCCAAATGCGGTTTCCAATCTTAAGGACGTAGTTTCTATTGTATCTTAGGTCACAAGACAGCTGATTCAATTTGACCCAAACAATGTAGAAACGCGATTTTGCGAACCTAGTAAAAGTTGCGGCGCTGTGCAGGTGTATTTTCGAAGGAAACATATGGAAGCATTCTAGGAAAAGAGCACAACCAAGGATCCAAATCTAAACCCTGAATCGTTATTATTTAAAGAACTTAAACTGAGCTCTTAAAAATTTTATCAACCGAACTTGAACCAATCGGTTTCAACCTTTTAATATCCTAATTTCATAAAAATTTTTTTGTATACTTCTATTTAGCGGTGCCAACTATCCAAATTTAGAGTATAGAGGTGTTTTTTCAACCAAATATTAAACTCTTTTTCCTTATAAATATAATTTGCAAGAATATCGAATAAATTTTTTATTGTATACTGCTCAAAATCATTTCCTTAGGGGAAAAGTGAGAAGAAAATGTATTTTTTTGCATAATTTGTTTGTAGGCGAAGAGGTCTAATCCATGTTTAAGACCAGAATCGATATTATATTTTTTATAAACTGAAGAGTTATTTTTACCTGAACCTCTATATTCATTATGGTTCGCCTGAGCACAACTGCGCATACATCTACTACAACCATAGTTAAGATCTGGCCGGAAATAGTCTGTTAAATTTTTGATATGGTTTTCTGGGCCTGCCCGCAAAAATTATGCAAATTGTCCGGTCCGTAATAATTTCGTATGAAGGAGAAAAAAAAGTAAATTTGCCAAATACTAAGCTTAAAAAAATAATCAACTTCTTCGGGCTCGGCCCGTAAAGGTATTTTGCACAATTTCATATGTAATCATTGTGAAAGAAGGGTAAAAAAAAAGAACAAAAATATAATTTATTTAATTTATAAAAAAATTGTTTTTTTTGGCAGATTAAAAAGATATGTTAAAATTTTTTTTTTGATATTTTAGCTTCTAAGATTATTTAAAAATATCACATGGTGGCAAATCTTTGAAAGTTATGAATTAAAAATAAGAATCGCAACGCGGACATAAAGTTACACCATTTTTAATATAAAGTAAGATAAAGCAGCTTTTACTTTTACAATTATCACTGGAAATAACTCGTGATCCTTGTAAATATTATTCTTTTTGGATAGAAAAATAAAAGATAAGATTTTTTTTACCGGTTCCAAAAAGGCGTAATGCTTGAAAACGAGGAATGCTCATAACTAGAAAACTGAGATATTTTAAAATTATAATAACCTTATGTTAATAGCATTGCTGCCCTTTAACAAAATAATATTATTTCCATTTACGTAAGAAAAAAGATTAAATTATAATATCATTTTTAAAAAACTATTATAATATTAAAAAAACACAGTATAATAAAAAAAAGAGAATAAATTATGTGACAATAATGGTATTTTTTTTGGAGTATATCCAAAATAAATTAACATAAAGGTTATCTAAAACTTTAGTGCAATAAGTCATTTTTTTAAAAATAATCATTTAATTATTTGAGGGGAATGACTATTTGATTTTGATAGCGAAAGTATTTCAATTACAAAATAAATCGCCCAGTGACGTTAGAGGGAGAACGGTGCTAGTAGCATGCTTAAACTTGGAGCGGAGCATGGTGAAAAATGTGCTGTCCCATTTTATATTCTCTCATCGCCAAGGCTGTGAAACCGATAAAATTTTACATCGGGTTCAGTAACGGTTTAGGGCAAAATACAAGAATTTAGTTCGGGTCAACCCAGTTCAAGACGGGCTCGGACCTAAATTTAAAAAAAAATTCGAACAGGGCATAAAAAATATTTTTTTAAAATGATGGTGCTCCAAAAATTGACTATTAAAATTTTCTCTTGTATTATTAGGACAAGCAATTGGTAATTTTTTTATTCAATTTATATTTTATCAGACCTTTTTGGACGGGGATAGGGTGGGGTTGTTAGGATATCTATTTTGAGCCTATCCCTTATTTATTTTGATTTTAATTTTATGAAATTTAAATATTAAATGAATGCATGTCCAAAGATTAACTTATATCCCTACAAGATGGCAGAAAATTTACAATATATTTATAAATCCCGAAATCTCACTTTAAATAGATAATATTTGAATTTTCAAGTTATCCGAATATTATAATGCAGTAATCGCCTTTTGAACTCGGGTTTCAAAATATAATCGGTGATATATATATAAACAGGGTTTCTAAAAAAATTCTTAAAGCACTTAAACTCCGGGGTTGGCTTAACTCTGCTCATCGTTATATCGCGGGGGGATATTTAGATTATATGGGTTAGCTAGCCGCCACGATATGATTGACTGTATTATTTTATCACGGGATAGATTTTTTAGTTCTCTGAATCAATGTTTCCGTCCAATAATTTTCCTCAAGATCCGTTCCGTTCCATGTTTACAAGGGAATTAAAAAATATAAAAAATAAATTATAAATTGTTCTAAAATTTTTTTTTTTACCGAATTTCCACGATTTTCTAAAAATTCGATTTCTTTGGGAGTAAAGGTAGCCATCGATATTGATTTAACGCGATGCGGTGGATTTAATCCTCTCCTGCATAATAATATTTTATTTTAAATAAATCGGCGTGAAAATGAAATCGCATAAATATGGTGTTAGCACCAATTTTCAAAATTTAAAGATATTTGCTTTTGCCGGAGGTGTATTCTATCATCTGATACAATTCGGGCTATATCGAGTCTTAAAAAAATTTGAGTTAAAATGGCAAAAATTCCAATATCACCTGACGGTATGCTATATTGTTTTTTATAAAAGATCCAGCTAAATATTAACCAGTTGAGTTTATTGAAAGTTAAAGCGCACCAGAGGCATGATGTAAAAAAAAAACTAGGGGCTCCCCGCTAAAAAATATCATGAACTCTTTGAGATCTCGGTATCTGACATGAGTCTCGCGTCGTGGGTATGTCTACTTTTACCCAGAAGGCGAAGCAATAACAAATAAACGAAATATTAGGTCTCTTCCATAAACGTGGAAGTGAAATTTAACCTATTTTTAAACTTTTTTAAAAATTTATTTTACTTGAATTATATTTTAAAATAACAATCATATGGTATTTAAATTAGAATTTCTCATATTTTAAATTACAAAATAAAATATTGAAAAAAGCAAAAAGAAAATTAATGGTAAAATAATTATTCGGTTCATAAGAATATGCAATAAATCTAAATGATATTAATGAATGAAAGCACCATTTTTTTTATTTTTAAGTGAATCGACAAAACGGAAATTAATAATTTATTATTTTAAGAGGGTTATAACCTCGTTATAAATTAACCTCCCAAGGAAAGAGAAAACAGTGATTCCTATTCCATTGGCCTTTTCAAAGAAAAGTATTATCTTTATCATGAAAAGATAATTGCGCTAATATATTTCATCGAAAATACAGGATGTATTTAAATCAATGATTTTTTAAAAGGTGAGATTATATGACCAAAGTTTTAAACAATGAGATTTGTGTATAAACGTCTTATTTATGTGATATCTATATTCATAAGAGGAATAACTTTTCTTTATAATATATGAAAAAGTAAATAAACATTTTCTAAATATGAAAAAAATAAATAAATTTACAACTTAAAAAGATATAGGTCTCATAATAAAATATAATTCCATTGTACGGTTTACAAGCATTAAAGGAAACAATATTAAAATTTTTAGAAATAATCATTGTGAGCTCAAAAGGATACTAAGAGTAGACAGAATATAAACACATAGATACTAATTTCAATCACAAAATCCTTGTATGTATTGCAAAAAATCATAGATATATAAGATTGTGTTGAACAATGATTGGTGTATAATGACAAAAAAAATCAGAAACGTGAGTTGTTAACCCTACTTTTAAAAGTAGCGCGCTACCGCTATGGCTATTTGTCAAAAAATTAGCAAGCTACCGACAGATATCCATCAAAAAAAAGTAGCGCACTATTAACTATTATTTTTTAAAGGTAGCTTTGGCTACTTTTTTAAAAAAAATTAGAAATAAATTTGTTTTATTTTTTTGCTTATAATGTAATTGTATAGTATATAATACATAAAAATCAACATTCATAAATAATTAAATATAGTTAGTTTTGATTATAAAAAAAGTTATGTAAAAAGACTATAATTTATGATTTATGTAATAAAAATAATTATTTATGGTAATATTCATTTTTATTTATTTTGTTGCATTTTAATAATAAAATCATTTCTATACTATTATTCCCAATTCTAGAGCGACGATCAGAAAGTATAAGTTTCGCCTAACTAAATACACTCACAATACTAGCACTTGAGGGCAAGGCAGATTTTATATACATATTTTTAATATAAGAAAAATTATCAAAATAATCATTTGAGTACACGTCTATAGAATTTTCTATTATATTAGTACCCTTTATTTAAAAAAATTATCAGTGAAAGTCGTTTTTGTGGTTGTAACTAGGGCATCTTTGTTTGGTATGAGACTTTTCCACTTTATCATGAGCCTTTCACGTTGATCCTTAGCATCATCGGAATTGATATATGGCCAGTTTAGTTTAAAATTGGGATGAATCATAAATTTTATTTGCAAGTATATCGTATGTCTGACATCCTATTATCCTTTTAAAGGCTAATGCTACAGATCTTCTTTTTAAGTCTTAGGGTCTAGCCATAGGTCTGTGATTCCCAAATAAGCTCTAAAAATATTAATATCAGATCAATTTATATAAATAAGTTTTTACCTTCTGTTATATGTCAAAATATCTACCGTGGTACATATATATTATATCTCTGACAACTCTGATATTAGAGCTATTTTATCACTTCAAAGTTATCTGCTATCTTAATCATTAGTGTCTGGTAACATAAAATTGTTGTACCAGGGGATAGAGCTTAAATCATCATGATAAATGATGGATTATCAACCAAGACATTGGCTGAGCTGTATCAATTATAAAATCGAAAAGACTTTATCAGCATCTGAATTGAATTGGTCTTTTGGAATGTAGTCTCTCCTATACTAAAATTATTACGATGTTTTTCTATCTCTTTAAAACTGTTGGCATGAACATTCTTATAAAATAAATACATTAGAATATAAAAATGACAATTACCTTTAGGTGTTTTTCGAAGTTAAAATTATTTGAGAATTTATTTTACATTTTAAACAAATAAATTTGTAGCCACCTTTTGTTTTTACATTAATTTGAAAATATTTTTCAAATTTTAGAAATGAAAATGTGTATTATTGTTATCAAGAATACTTTCAGGATACCTTCCATTTCATTAATATCATCATTGTTAAATCTCTTTGATTTGGATATCCATTTGCGATGACATTTTAAATAATTTACACCAGATGATTTAGGTTTATAATACAAATTTATTTTATTTTCAATTTCAAGGAAATATTTTTGTATAAAAAAATTTAAAAAAATAAAATATATAATTTAGCAATCAATAAAAATATAAATTTCAAATATTAAATAATAAAAATTATAAATAATTATATTATATTTAAATTTTCATGTTTATAGTTTATATTCATTATATTTTTAAAAAGTAACTAATAGCGATCTGCTTAGCTACTTTCAAAAGGAGCGTGCTAAAAAAATTAATAATTGGAAAATAAGTAGCACTCTATTAGCTATTGCTACCAAAAAATATAGCGTGCTATAGCAGCGTGCTACTTTAACAACTCTGGTAAAATGTAGGGATGTACCGATATTTCATCTTTTTTAAAATATCGGTTATTGCCAATATTATAAAATTTTCCGATCCCATAAAATGGCGTCTTAATTTAAAAAAAATTTATTCAAATTAATGTAAATAGATCAATGTTATTATATAAATAAGTGATTTATCAATAAAAATATTTTATATACTTTTAGATTCATGAATATAAACTATAAATGATCATTACAATATGGCTTATGATATGGTATAGTTAAATTATAGATGTTATATTATTAAAAATTATATAATATTTTAGCCAAAAAAAATTGCCCAAATCTCGAGATTTGGCTAATAGATGTCCAAATATTTTACCTCTGAGCTAAATCTTTAGGCTTGTGTAATAATTTTCTGAATAAAATACTGAGTTGGCCGTTTTTAAAAATTGGCTCAAATAAAGCCACTTTGGATGTATACATTAAAAATTAAAACGATTAGTATGTTTACAGAATACAAAATCAGATGTGATATCCGATCGATAATCGGTCAATATAAATTTAACATAGGTAATATCAGATCGGCCTCCTAAAAGTGGTATGAGCACATCCATAGTAAAATAAGTAATTTAAAATTGATGAATTTTGACATTTGTTATGATTAGATGAAATGATAAAAAAAATTGATTTTAATTTTCCACGCTCTGCAAATATATGATCTTAAATCAGCGAATTCGATTTTGCGCCGTTTCTCGTGCTTAAAATTAAACGGATAACTCAGAGATTCTTGATATGGGCGTGAATATAAATCGGTATTTTTATTTTAGCAAAAATAATGATATAAATCGTTCTATTTTTTTAACTGATAATAAAATAAGGTGCGTTAGTCAGTATTGCCTTCCCTATGTTTTTAGCTGGAGTTTGCGATAAAATCACCTATATCTCAAAATTATAATCGGTTATAATTTACATAAATTTAAAATGGTTATTTCATATTAGATTCAAGATGTGTTGGTTTCAAAAATGAAGTATAGGCGGAGTATGAATTTGAGATTAGTGCTAAAAACCATTAAAATATTTTAAAAAAATTTACCCAAATTTGAATCATCATTTTTTGAGGATTGCACTATAAGCCAAAAACACCCATTAGCAGGCTATCAAATTTATTTAATAATAAATAGTAAAACTTTAAAAGCTAATAGCATTGAAAATTTTTTTTTATATTTACAATAAGGACAAAAAGATTCAAATCAGATGCGCCACAGACTGTTTTATTTATTTAGTGGATGCTTTAAATAATAAGTTTTAATTATGGAGTTGCTCGTAAAAAAATGATATTGACATGTTTTGTTATGTATCATATGTGCTAATAATAAGCATTCAAATTTTGCGATTAACCTTAGGTGTGGTCAAAAGAAATTAGATGATAAGCACCCCCTTTGCTCCTCCATTCAGATTCAAATATTTTCTTAAATAATTTAAAATGATTATCAAGATTTGAAAAATTATATTTAAAAAAAATGATAAAATAGAATAAGAAAATATTGAGCCTGCAAAGGGAGATATTAGCCCAGACCCAAATTTTTTTTAAAATAAATGTCGTGATTTTGAATATTTTCGAATTGTTTCAAAGCGAAATTAAAAATATGAACAGTAAATGATAGTGTCGTAAAACGGCTCGATTTGAGACGATTTTTAAAAATGGCTAACTAAATATCATATTCAAAAATATTATGCAAGTCTGAAGATGAAGATTTTGCTCATAGATGGCTCAAAGGTTTAGACATCTATTAGCGAAATCTCAAGGTTTGGCAATATATTTCTGGCTAAAATATCGAGTTAGTCGTTTTTAATAGGCACAAATCGAGCCTTTTAATAACACTAGTAAATGAATATTA